TTTCATTAAAAACGCCATTGAAATCAAAGTTATAAAAATACTTACACACTGGCATGCAAAATAACGTCCAGTGCAGTATTATTCTCCTGGCAGTCCACAGTGAGAGACTGAAAAAAGTTAAGTGCAGCATATACAGATGTCAGTAAAAGCAGCCTGGAAATAATATCTTGGCCTCACAATCTCACCCAGAGGAGAAAAACCTCTCAGTTTAATATTCAGGAGTGGAGAAAAGACATACCATCCACTTCACTGCATGTGCTGCACAAGTCACAAAGCATGGCAGACCTTCCAAAAAAAGCACTTGCACAAAAATCACTCCAAAGCACAGACTCGCCATGCTGCATCATTTGCAAATCAGACATTTGGCCTCAGAAACTTGTTGCCTAGATGCTCTTTAGAGTAAATATCAGCGAGGTCAAAATATTGCTCTTAGCTTGCCATTTGGGACTTAGGCTGCAGATGCTAAAAATAACAGTCTTATAATGGTAAAGATTCACATTTAATATTTGATTTAGGATACGAGTAACCTGCTGTTGCCTTCCTCCATTAGATTTTGCTAAGCCATTATAGAAAGATATCCCCAAGAGAACATATAATTTTCTTTGGCCTCATTCTCATTCAAGGTTTCCGTTTTCTCTGTGCACTTAAACCTTAACTAAAACTATATAGTAACTTTATATTGACAAAATTAACTGGGGTTCATTTTGTGGGGTTTAAGTCTGGGAGGGGTTGTGTCTGTCATGCACATTGTGTCATGTGATAAAGCATGAAGCATAGTATTTAAAAACTGATCAAAATCTTCTCTGCGGAAAGCACAGACTTTTGAGAATAAAGAGGCATAAGGCCTTTTACCTTGCAGAATCTTCTGACAGCTTAAGATCACATGTTAAATTTTTTATGTGATACATCCAAGACCCCTATTACCACTTAGCTGTAGTTACTGTAACCAAGTACAACACTTTGAATTGTTCCTTTGAAGTTAGCTGAAATTTCTGTACTTGCTAACCTTTATACAGAGTGAGGTTATGCTACGTAATTGTTGTGCTGGTGTATCTTCATGGCATTTTTGTCCATAGGCAAATTTGACTTCACAACCCAAGGAAGAATCCACCATCTTGTAGTACTTGTGACTCAAAGGAGGAGAACAACAAGTGCCACAGAAATTAATTTTCTCTAAGTACGTCGCTCTGTACAATGATGTTCTCTTGTACCAATATAACCTGGTTTTCCCTGTTACTTAATCTGTTGATTCTTATGTAAGAGAATTCTGGAGGAGGAAAAACTGTGCAGCTAAAGAGACCTCAAAAACTGGCAAATCCTACAGCTTGAGAAGGTATCAAAAGAGGACAAGTGCTGCCTGAAAACCTCACCTACAACGTGGAAGAATAGACTTGCTATACTTTATTCTCCTTTTTCTAATCAACTTCTTTTAGCTCAGAAATAGCCCAAGTGTTAGATCTGGACCTCCCTGAGCTTGCTGGAAGACTTGGATTTATCACTATCTAAACATTTTGTTTGTCTAAAGGGACCTACTTTAAAAAAGTGCAGTGTTTAAACAATTGCTAACCAGTTTGTTCATATTTCGACTGGAAATCAAAGTTATATAACCTATTTAAAAGAACTAATCCTTCAAAAATAGCTTAATTTAAACCAAAACAACAGAAGTCAAAATACAATACCAAACTAAATTTAGCCTAGTTTGTTCTGAGTAGGGACATGGGGAAAGCACTGTAGATCAGAAACAGAAGTCAAGCTAACAAGTCACAACACTGAGAGAGGGAGGTGTGACCTTAAGAAAGAGACAAATATGGATTATTTGCCAAAGGCACATTTCAGCCTTAAATCTCTCAGAAATTAAGGGAGACCTCGCTGCAGCCTTCCAGTACTAAACAGCGCTTATAAAAAATAGGGAGAACAACTTTTTACACATGCAGAGTGTGACAGGACAAGGGGGAATGGTTTTAAACTAAAAGATGGGAGATTTAGATTAGATATTAGGTAGAAACTCTTCCCTGTGATGGTGGTGAGGCACTGGCACAGGTTCCCCAGAGAACTGTGGATGCCCCATCCTTGGAAGTGCTCAAGACCAAGTTCGACGAGGCTTGGAACAACCTGGTCTGGTGCCATTGCCCATGGCAGGGGGTTTGGAATGAGATGACCCTTAAGGTCCATTCCAACCCAAACCATTCTAGAATTCTATGATTAAGCATTGGCCAAAAAGCAAGATAAAATGTGTAAGAAACCTGAATAAAAACTACCAAGCTTTCAGTCCTGTTTTACTTGTTTTTCCACTTTTGCAAGATGCTTTCCCTTCTCTCGCAGGTGCTGGTAAAGGTCTCCATGAAAAAAAAAGAAAGAATGTGTTAGCTGCTCTTTTAAAAGAACTTACTAGAGAAGTGGGCAGATACTCCTTTGAACCTTACATAATATACATGGAAGTCAGGACTATTAAAGTAACAACCCCAAAAGACATTTTTGAGTATATATCATAATTGCTCAAAACCTTAGCAATACAGGCCCTCTAGTTCCACTGTCACTTCACATTTTACTGCCATATTTTAGTTTTTCATAAGCCTCCTGGACTCATCTAAGGATTAAATGGATCCAATGAGAGACCATCTCCCACTCAGATCAGACTGCTAACCAGAAGGTCAACCACTCAGTTCTGCAGAACAATGGAACAGCAATGGCTGGATGCATTGATCTTAATGTTAGCAACATCCAGGTGCCTATTTTTCATTGTGATCAGTGTGACGTCTGAATAGCAAGACAGCATGAGCTCTTAGCAAAAGCTCTGTGAAGCTCAGTTACACGATCCACTCATTGCCTTTGCTGAATTCAATACTATATAACTACAGTTCACTTGTGCTTATAAGCTTGAAGATAAATAACTAGGCCAACAGAAATTCTGATGTTTAACATTATTTTGGAGTATTCTCCATTATCCAGAATTTACTCCTTCAGATTGCAACAACAGGTTACATCTCCTACATAGTGAGAGTCTTCAGCCAAGTTCACTATCCCAACCAAACTGCACTACATTGTTTTATCTTCCTGAACAAAGGATTAGCATTGAACACCTAACTCTAACTTAAAAGCTGGTCTTATTAATTCTATTAGTAATGATATATCTTGAACTAATAAGAAAGTCCAGGATTGCTGGACCTGTCATAGTTTGTAATTCTATTGTTCATCTGAAAGATACTTCCTAAGAATGTTTTAAGATCTGAACCTATAAAGTCAAATATTATTCTTTAGGCCAATTCACAGTTAAGCCTTTGTCCTTGTTAGTTACGAAAAGCTGGTGTGAAAACAACAAAGCTTGCAGCACCAGTCACATTGAAATACTACACTGAACTGAAACCAGTAGCATCATGCAAGGTTTTCTCAGACATCCCCAACACATGCAGTAGGTATTGGCTGGTGTACACAAATCTTCCCCCAATATCACTAAATGCAATTTAATAAACTAATAAATAACTTAAAAGGCATTCAACACAGTAAGATAGTTTATCATCAGCTTAAATTCTTAATTTTCTGCATTCATTGAGTTTCTTTTCCCATATGGTATGTTTGCTACATATTAAATATTTAGTTAAGCTTTTCCATTTATAAATGATTATTATATGCAAAAGCTGTACACAAATTCAAGAGAAAAAGAACAGTAACATAAAAACAGCTAGTATTAGTTAAAAAACCCACTGACCTCTGCAAAGTGTAATATTAACTTTTTAAAAAAGTTACTGCATATAAATCCCCATTCTGTTTTGCAATTACACAAAACATCTGAAAAACTGTCAATGGTTTTATACTTGGAATTTATCCCTCCACTTAAGCAAAACTTGTAAAGTTAATGCTTTTCTTCTCCTTACTATATAGCTGTTTTATTATACAGAAAATCTATTTCTGGAGCCAAGATCTATTAACGCTTATTATATGGCCAAGTTAAGACAGATTAAAGTGGCAAAAGATGATGATCTGACAGAGCAGCAATTTCAAGATTAACAGTTTAAGCAGATCTTTTCTTCCAAGACAGTGTAAGTTCTTTAGTATAGCTGAGTACCTCTTAAGAGGCACTAAAAACAAATAGCCCTTTCAACTCAACTTTCAAAAAAAAATTTAATTTTCATTTCAAAAGGGATCTTGAAATTACTAGATACACATACATCCCTCTCCCACGGCCCTGTAAGATACATTCAGTAATTTAAAATAAGATTCCATATTTTATAACTTCATATATATTATATATTTAATATATAATATATATTTATATGCACATTACACATATACATACACTCTCAGTCAGCAGGATTAAACTGTTTTGTTTTGAAATGTTTGATTGTTGTCACTAATTATTTTCTATTATTTTGTGTATTCAACGGAATTTATCTACTACCTCAAAAGAAGAAATTTAAAAGATCCAGATGGAATCTGTGGATCAATATTAGCACCAATACAGATGGCCATTACTCCAAAATGACTGCAGGGACTGAAATAATATATTTGTTATAACTCTCTTCTTACTGCACAAGCACTCCTGCAAAATATGTAGGCAGCAATACCTGTCAGGTACGTACATAACTCCTGTTAAATTTAAATTTTATACAACTTTCCTTACTGTAATATACAGTATCTCTCCTGTCCTGTTGGATTATTTCATTTTCCATGGAGAAAAGTGATCAATAGCTATCCAACAGAATTATTTTTTTTAAATCCCCTCTTTCTCCTTTCATAGTATGGCTCAGTTTCAAGACTTAAATCGATAGGCAGCCACCATCACTATAACCAGTACCCTTTGAACGCAGTTCAGTCACTGACTTTGATGTGTAAAACACAAATTTTTGAGGCTGGCTTGCTGTTTATGGAAACCAAGATACTCAGAGGTTGCATTTTTTCAGCATGCTTACCACCATCTATCACACAATAATGTCAGTCAGTCCCAATACTATAATTCAATTAGTTACCTACCATTTGGGTAACAAAAATAACAAACCCAGTTGTGATTTTAAACATTTTAAGATTATTCACCCTGAGAACACAGAGGAAGTGCTTAAAAATAATTATGATATGTTTTCTCTTCATATATAATTTTCTCTTCATCTCCTCTTGGGTATCTGGGTTTGTATTGACCTCACACTTGCTTTGTCAGTTGACTTGTTCATGCCACAGTCAGGTACTGGTGATAGAAGAGCCCAAAAAGGCTTGTAGAAAAAAGGCAAGCAGCAATCCACCAGGTGAGGAAAGACAGGAGTCCCCGGAACAGGAGAGGAGTGAAAATATTCTTTAGACTTCCCAAAGCCATGGTTATTTGTACTACTGTTACTTTCATCTTTCCATCAGCAGGTGGAGACTCAGAAGAAACAGAACTGGGAAGCAGACTCTTTTCTACTGGAGTGTCAGAATTCAGTTCTGAATAGATGCCCCAAGAATAATTACCTGTCAAAAAGAAATGAGTAACAGATTTTTGTAAAATTAAGTTTTACTACTACTATCTACTACTACCTACTACCCCACAGATCATTTTAGATACATTTTGAACACACACATAAAAATGTTAACTTTTTATAACTTAGTAAATACTAACTGTATTCATCTGCATGGTTTCCTGATCATACCAGAAGCTACTGGGGTATGATTCACCTTTCCTTTTTGCATCCTGACCTCTACATGCAATATAGCTGCCTTGGGACCCCTGTCAGTTCTGGGTACAATTCATCTCACTAGATGTAGATGTCTACTCCAGAACAGAATGAATCACAGCCTAATAAAGCCTATCTCCTTCCATTGCCTTTTTGCAAAAAAGAATGCCATGACTGCATGGCAGGCTGTGAAAGTTATCTCTCACAAGAAAGAAGGAAAAAAAATATCAAACTGGAGTGACTTCAGATCTCCCAATAATTAAATGAACACCATATTTCATAATTCCCATTCAAAAAGCCTACTAAAGATAAAAAAGATGAAAAAAATCCTTTAAGATATGTTCATGAAGTTAAATCAACAATGCTTTAAACAGCTCTCTTATAGAATACTTCTTAAAAGATAAATATTTCAACAGAAATAAACAGCTTAGTTGGTTGTATTACACAATTTCTCAGAAATAAATTAAACAAATTAGTATATGATTGAAAGATATCAAAAGCATCAGTGAAGAAAACTGCTTTAAAGCCACACATGAATGTTTTAAAGGGCAGGAAACTACAATGTGTTTCTGTATTGCAAGTTCTACCCATACATTCTTACTCTCTTTAGTAAGGTGAAAATATAAAAGCCCTGTGTAAAACTGAACATATTTTTGTTGACTGAGTTTTGCCTACCTAGTGTTTTCAAGAGTAGAGTTGTGTGAAGGAGCATTACCAATGGCGCAACATACTGCAGTGCAATTACACAAAGATAATAGAATACCCGAGCCACCTGGGAAAAACAGAAGAGAGTAAAATTCATGAGTCCTGGCTGAGCAAAGCAAGTCCTTATGAACATGTCTACTAAAAAGAATTTATTAAAAAACCTCAGTACTTATGCATTAAAGCTGTTCTAAGAGTTTTCTAACACCTCTTGTCACAGGACCTACTGTCTTCAAAAGACATCAAGAAGAAATCCCAACAAGGAACTCTAGTTTCAGGACATTTACAAATCTGAGAGGAAGAGCTGAAAGGAAATAATTAAAAGTATCAGTTCTGTTAAAACAAAGAGAATCAATTTTGCTTCTGCAAATTGTGTGCCATCAAAGATTCCTCTTTCAATACACCAGAAATAAAACTAAATGTTTAATTTTTTAAAGTTCTCAATGATTTACAAACTAAATCCCATTTCAAAAATGAAGTAGTAGTCACAGTCCAAGACCTCATAAAAAGTAAATGGACGTTTAATATTGCACTCTCTTTCCAAAAGCAAGATATTTTTAAAATTTTCAACTGTGAAATACCATTATGTTAAAAACAATGGCAAGATGATTTTTCATTAGTAGCTGATCAACAACCTCAGTGCCACCATACTTACCATTTTCTGTAAATCAACCATACTTATTCTGCCAGCTTCCTTTTTCATCTGATCCACACTTTTCTGGGCTAAATTCAGGTAGGCCTGCAAATGATGGCGCATCATAGCCAACCGTAAAGCACACAGCAGGATTATAATCCACAACCTGACAGTGTCAAATGTATCTTCTGACATTCTGTATATAAAAAAAAAAAGGGTGATGTTGTTTTCCAATGGCCACCTACTTTTTTGCAAGGGCCATCTACTTTTATTAAAGGCCACAATTTTTTGTTTGTATCATCTGTAAAGAAATCTTGAGGCATATTGTCAAAAAATAGTTAACACACAATCTACAGTTATGAAGTTCACTTGCAAGTAATATTCAGTTTGGGCTTCTGCTTTTTTCTCCTGCTACTCCTCAGTAACCCTATTATAGCATTAGATCCAAATCAGTATGCATTTATCTGTAAACAAGAACAGTTCTTAAGTGCTTGAATTCTGAGTAATGAAGGGAGGATGCTAAAACCCAAGCTCACTCAGATAATACAGTAGTAAATAGTAAATGGGTACTTCAGTTGCCTGAGATAGCCAGTTATAGCCTCATTTTAAGATAAACCAAGGAACAAAACAGATGCACAAAATATGTACATTTGTGGTGTTTTTTGTAATAGATCAGTGGTCACAGAACCACCTTAGAAGTGTATCTCAGCTCTAGAAAGCAAGATGTGTCAGCCAATCATATCTGTTCAAGTTTATTTGAATACCACAATTTTGAACTATTTAGACTAATTGTGACAATGACAATCACCTATGCTAATTATACAATCTGAATTTCAGATACCACTCTTCTTGAAAATTCTTTCCCCTTTTATGTTTTGAATATTTTAGCTACCAATTCCGTATGCACTTCGTCAACATGTAGATCTTAAGACAAACTGCCTAGCTCAGTTCTCATGCCAACGTATCTCGACTGTCTTCTGTGAAACGACTCCTCTCTCCTACATCAATATATAAGATACAAGGTTCCAGAAGGTAGTAAGGAGGTAGTATTCCACTCCTAAAAAGACCAACCCAATACTGCCAAGCATATGTCAGAAGACAGCAGCTTTTTGGGAACCACCACCTTAACATTCAACATTCTGCAACTAATCCTCATTCTTCTTAAATAACAGAAGCTCTTCAGAACTCAGTAGCACCTTCCACAATACCTTTTACAGCAGATGCTATTAAATTTTAAGTCTTTCATATTCCTATGACTTTAAAAGAACATTACTTAGACACGATTTTGTTCTCAATACCCCAGAAAAAATTTTTAAAGGGAATCTTACAAAGGAATGTTCTCTTTGCCCAAAGGTGGGTTCATAATGTAGTCCTTAGTGATTGGTTTTACCCACAGTAGAACCATAAATAAAGGTGCCAAGAAGTTTATGTGTAGCAATGTTCTGAAAGCAGAAAAAAAAGGGGAAGTTATTAAACAAAAATAATCACCATACTGTTGAACAGGGTGTATGGATTCAAAAGGAGAAATCTTAATTTTAAAATTAAAAAGAAAGATAAATAAGAAAATTGCTTCTCTATTTTATAGGCATGACTTACATTTTGACAAAACAGTATACTGCGTATTGTGAAATCACACCAGATCTGGCTTTTAAAAAGTGCTCTTAGAATATTTATTGCAAACAATCCAACCAAAGGAGTTCCAAACACTATGCCACACTATAGTAAAAGACAGTTGTTGAAAATTTTTATATGATGGACTAACACCAAACTGCACTAGCTATTACAGTTTTAATTTAGAAACTCAGCATCTCGGATAATTATGGTGAATATGCTGCTATATTACTATTTTTTGCTTTATTAAAAATCTACTCAGATTAATTTCCATTACCTATACAGACCAGAAGAAACAGTTCTCAGAGATGAGATTTCCCAGCCAATGAAGATTTTTATTTAGGAATCCTGACTAAATCAAACTTGGTACTTACATTCAATGAAAGATAATCAGATCAAAAAAAAAAAAGCCAAAAAAAGCCAGCATAGTTTTTTCCTTTTAAAACTACTGTATGAAACTGCACAGTTGAAGTAAAAGTAGTACTCTTTTGTGATCTTTGAGTACAAACCAGCAGAATTTGGAGAGGGGATATAGTTTTCTGGAGTTTTCCCTGAAATTTATATACTTCTTTATTTATAAATGCCATATCCCAATCGTTTTTCATTATTTAAATGAAATTAAAATAGTTGAAGAGATCTGGTGGTTTTGTTAGTGCAATGCCTTCTCACTAACAGAATCAGGTCGTCTATACTTCCACCTCCACCACAGTGCTTCTACCCTCTAGAAAAAATGACGTAATCAAAAGTCGTTCTAAAGAACACAAGACCTCACTGATTGAAAACTATCAAACTTCCTAAAACCATTAAAATGTTTGCAAGTTTCAGAAGATGTCATCACACACATTTAAATCATTGATTTCAGATTAAGAAATAAACCCTGATAGCTATTTAGTGTTGCTAGGGAACACAACATCATCAAAGAACAGTTCAAAGCATTTCACTAAACTGTGGAAGCTGAACTTCTACTTGTTTAAGAGATCCTACTGAGTTAATGGACTGGAATGTGACAAAGGGTGCTTAAAATCACCTTTTTGGATTTTTTTTTTTTATTTTGTTTTTGTCTTTTTGGTTTGGTTTGGTTTTGGTTTTTGGTTTTTTTTTTGGTTTTGGTTGTTTGTTTTTTTCAAGTATAG